ATTATTACCTAATCTAAAACTTTTAATCTCTCTTAATAGGACTAGTACTCTCTTTCCATCAACCATACTAATCTTAGGAATTGCTTCTAGTACTCTTCTTTTCTTAACCCATTGTTGGCATACATTAACCTCATCTGTTTAACTCAATTTATACTTCTTGCAACTTTGCAGCCTATTTTCACTATTAGTCAATGACTCAGGAACCCAATGATCAATTAAAACCTGCGCCTTTCTTTTTTTCCTAACTCAACCAACTATTGAATCTGCATTTTCATTGTTGATGATTACCTACTCACGACGTTTTTAGTTATCAGATAACCTCTTCGCTTTTATTTACATATACATTCAATTCTCTTCTGGAACCTTAAAGTTATTTTCTACCTCTCTACTTTCTATATATCTAATTACTTTTCTCTCAATCACACTAAACCATTTTGCCTTTCGGCCTTTCGGCCTTTCAAAGACTTCATTCTTAATGCGCGTAATTGGTTCCATATTATCATCTTCGTACCAGTTCTATCGATCAACTGGTTTATATAAAACACATTAAAACTCCTAATACTACTACAATAGGCACTATACATCTCTTCTCCAATTACTTCTGCTATTGTAGAATCTGTACCCCAAATTTGCCACTTCTCTGTATTAGCATGGAGTGACACACCTAATTCATTTGCTTTGACTAGAATTGATCCTGCCAGATTATTTTTCTAGACCTTTCTGAGATACCGATTTTGTGGTTTTGACCAATTTTCTTTTACTAACCTAGCTAATGCGTAATCTTCTTTCAACCTTATTTGTGTCATCTTCTCTACTCGATTCAACCTATTAAGTTTATTCTGCAAGCATACTAGTTGTTTGCTAAATAGCTCCTGGCCCAAGGACCTACAATGGTCTAGTCCTTGGTGTATCACTATATAATTGCCTGCTGTCGCTGGCAACCCTATTTTGTTCTTAAATATTCTTATTACCGGTTGGTATATTCTATCTATGCTTGCTTCAATTAATAAAGTAGATTTACTATTTATATTAAATTTTTTAATATTATAGATTTTTTTTTTCATATACAAAAATATAGTAGACAGACAATTGGAAATAAAGATATTGATAATTGTATAAAAGCATTCTAACTAAGAGCCTAGAAATATGAAGATGTAATTGAGTAGATTCTATTTAATAAATTATCTAATACTAAAAAAAATTGGTAAAGGAGGATTTGGTTTTGTATACAGTTGACTTCCTCTAAGTGTATGTCTTCTAAATATATGTTCTCTCTATATGTATGAAAATAGTCTGGTCCCAAGTCAGGACTTATAAAATAAATACATGTTCTATATTCTCTAAATGCAAGTTATTTTTTAAATTTTATATATAAAAATATTCTCTCTAAATACATTTTTAATATGTTAACCAATCAAATTTGAGAATATTTATTTAGATAATAAAACAATTAAAATTTATATATTTTATTTCTTTTTTTTAAAAAAAAATTCAGCAATCTTGCCAACACTTTATTAAGATAAAATATTAAACTTACAGATAAAATATCAATTATAACTCAAGTTACCTTAAGCTTACCTAAATTACAAGTGTTTGCTAACTCGGTTGTTCTCAAATGAATATCTATATTCGATCTGTTATAGTAAATATTTATCTCCATACCAAAAAACCCTGCAAGTAAATTCTTTGATACTTTACTGAATAGTATTTACGGCCTATCAAGACTGTCATCTTTTCTAAACCTTCTTCCCCTAGCTTCGCGAGCAGAAGGATTCATAGTTTCTAACTAACTTATAAAAAAAAAAACTAATACTAAAAAGATAAAGGGAATAACATGAAAGAAAAAACTAAAAAAACTGCCTAAGCAACAAGAAAATGAAAAAAAAAAACAAATGAAACAAGAAGAAAAAAGCAGAAAAAAAACAATCTATGAAAGCACTATTATAGCCCATATCATGTACAAGTTGTAAAAATTATATACTAAATTTAAAAATTTTGTATATCTCTATTGTAAAGCTAAGCTTTATCATTAAAATTTCTTCTGACTTTACTATCTAGTTCAGGTCAGTTTATTAACCAAAGTGCCAATTGGTTTGTTATATAGTGTAGATCAATATTGCCAAAACAATCATATATTTATGTCCTACTTCGTCTGTCTGAAAATGGAAGATATAAACAATGCCAATCTTTTGGAAGGAGTAAGCTAAAATGCCTACTTTTTGTTGATATTTTTATAAGAGTAGCAAAAAGGTGAAGTAAAGAGAAAAAACTACTTGTATACAAAATAAAAGAGTATGAGTTTCTTCTATTAGAATCAAATAAAGCCACACTGGAACTTGTACACTACTAAGTTTTCTCGGTGAGTGATAAACTCTGAGCTTGTTGGCAGATAGTATATAAGAACTATCTCTAAACGACAAGTACTATGTCTGTTACTACAGTAAGTGATAAACTCTGAAAAAATTGACAAGATAATATATGAGAACTATCTCTAAATGATAGTTGCTATCCTAAGGTCCCTTTTTACACGTCTTATTACGTCTAGTATAGCTATTTGTATTTTTTCCTAGTAAAAGTTTTTTGAAAATTTATGGTACAAATAATCATCAAAAGGATTTATTTTATTCCTTTAATAATATAAACTAATAATATATAATATTTATAAAAATTATTATTATAAAAATAATAAATCTTTAAAAATTAATAACTTTTGATCTATTGATTTAATTTGGATGATTTAACTACCAAAATGATCCTCTTATAAAGGTGATTCTAATGAATCTAAAATCAATCAAATCTAATCAAGATTATTAATATTTTATGTTATATTTACTATAGTAAATATAATACAAATCATTAATGATTTTGAGCAAGATTATATTGTTACAATGCTATAGCCTTCTTGGTATTGTTATAGCAAAGTAACAAGATCACCCAGTGTAGTGATATACTTTATGAATATACATGGGGTGGACGTGAAGTGTATACTTTTACTTTACAGCAAGAGGCAAACAGTTCAAGATAATAACAGTTTATAGAGATAATAATATTTATTAATAACAAGTTTACGGTAATATTCTTTACAATAGGAATAACTTAAAGAGAGAATATTACACTATATAAATGTAAGAAGAGTAATAAGTATACATGTTGGCAAAATCCCAAATTACTATATTTGGGATTTATCTGCGCCCAAATCCCAAATATATCCCAAATTAATTTCTTAAAAACTTTATTAATAATCTTTGTTTAAACAAATAGTAGATATTCTTATTGTTGTAAATAATATATTTGCAAAATTTTAAGATTACTTTTTTGATTTAATCTTTTACAAATAGAAATTGTTTTTTTGAATTTAGGATTTGTCCGTGTTTTTCTAGCAAGTATAGTAATAAGAGTAGTTAGGTAAGGCTAGATTCTATGAGAGGGTAGGGAACTCTAACTTGAGTAGAAGGGGCAAAAGGCTCCCTTTTTATAACTTTTCTACGTATAAGAGGTGTAATAGTATAACTGCCAAACTGTGTAGAGGTACTAAGAGATACTTGTACAAAGGTACTGAGAGGTACCCGTATGGAGGTACTGAGAGGTACTTGTGTGAAGATACTGACAAGTATTCATATGAAGGTACTGACAGGTACTTGTGTAAAGGTACTAAAAAGTACTTGTGTGAAGGTACTGATAGGTACTTGTATGAAGATACTGACAAGTACTCGTGTGAAGGTACTGGCAGATACTCGTGTGCAGGTACTGTGCCTCAGTTCACTAGCCAATAACGTCTCTAAACTACTATGATAAATTTATTTTTTATTTTTGGTTTCAACGGTAACTACTTTATTACGTCTGAACAATTAAGTATATTACAAGGTAGTATAGAGCCTAGTCTATATATTTCTATATATTCCGGTTCCTCCTCCTGTGGTGTTGCAGTTCCCAGACCTAGTACCTCCAATTCGTGTATAAAGCATTACACGGCTGCTCTAAGGTGCTCATGTATAACCATCTAGCAACATTTTATTTCCTCTTCGGCCTCTAACTTACTAGGGGTTACTCTTCGGATTAACAGTAGAACATGCTCGCCTATTTGCTGGGGCACCTGTCCCACTTATGTGCCTCACACAGACTTCGGTAATTTTACGCCACAGCTTGACCTATGCACTTGGGGTCAGAGCTAACCATTAAACCCCTTGTAACCAACTTTAGTACCTGTTATGCTGCCAACACCGGATTCGTACCTCAAGCCATCTTTTAGAATGCTGCCATAATCCAGTCGTATCTCAAGCCACAACCTTCCCAAGTCAGTTGACTATTACCTACTTCTTGCTCTTATTAAGGTTCACAACAACCCCAATACCCACATTTGGTACCGTCTTCTTACCTGAATTCTTTATCGATCCCTCTCTTACTTTCAGCCAGCAACCTAGAAGGGTTGGTCTGCCCAGGCCTTAGGTGTCTGAAGGACGCCCTCCTCTTGGTATATATTTTTGAAGTGTATACCCTTTTCCTCCAGTGCAACAGAACCTGGCAGTTCAGCTGGTGTGTCCTCCACTATTAGAATCTGGTTGTTCGGTTCTCCAATCTCAGACCCCAGTTTGAATTTAGCCCTCATGTAGTACTGTCATAGATCATTACTATTCCTTAGCTTGGGACTTTCCAAATGGGGTTTCAGTTATTCTGGTTCATCAGCTTTATTGCGCCATTGCTCCCATTACTAGATGATGTGACCAAAGTTACAGATTTATCTAAGATCCAACTGATAATCATAACTGTCAACCATAATGCAAGCCTATTTTTCAAAATTTGTCATCCATGGGATTCGAACTCTAGACCTGCCACTTGGAGAGGGTAATGACTAGACCACTACACTAAGTTGCCACACTTCTTGCTATGTAACTTTTTATCTGTTAAGATATTACAAATTATGTAGTTAACTTACTGAAAGTAACTAATTACAAAATATTAGCATGCAAATATGTTGGCCTACATACAATAAAAAGAGCAAATCAAGTTGGTGCAAGGAAATTCATCTCAATTGAGCCAACAGGCTCAAGATTTCGCCTAGTTAGATTATAAAAAAATATTTGCATATTAGAAAAAATTTAAGAAAACTATTATTTCTGTTAATTGAGAATGTAGATTAACAGTTAGGGCTACTAGTTCAATTGTCAAATGGGATACAAGTTATGCAGGTTTAAGAGTATATTTAAGTCACAGTTTGCATATAGGTAAAGCAACAGCTACAATAAAAGCAGGCCTTTCATTACTACAAATAATAACTATAAGAGGCTGGGTATCAAAGGCAGTACTATTATACTTAAGAATGATTGCAACAATGCAAATAAACATATCTGTGAAAATGGGGTTCTAGTTAGTTAAAGACTTATTAAGCAATAGTTTTCTTTATATGTATCTGAGTTATGTACAAATTTAAATGTGTGTATTTGAAATAAAATCTGAACAAAAATAATATCTATGTGATTAAAGTCGAGTTAGTTGCATTAGAATTATGAGTGTAAAATTCTGTAACAGAACTTGCCAGATATTTTGGTGACTATAATATACATTTAAAATTAAGCTAGTTTGATTGAAATTATAATGATACCTATGTTGTCAATGCTGTATTGAAGTTATTATAAGAAAATTCACAAAACTTACTCGCTATTCTGTAATTTCAGTAAGCAGTTGTGTTAGTTTGTAACATGAGCTACTATCAAAAGTCAGACAAACTTATTTGCTATTCCAATGATACTTAGTATGTAGTTAAGGCCATGTTGGTGAATGTCAATTTTAAAAATGAGCAAAGCCTGAATTAATTTTCAAAAAATGAAATTCTAGGTTTTCAATTTGCAGAATTAAGATAAAAATGAATGACAACTGAATTATGTTACTGTAATATCATGAATGGGACTGTGCTGTAAATGACATAGTTAAAATGTAATTCTGATAGTTCGCAATACCTTAATTTTTATCATTATCTGACTATTAATTAATTCATAGATCAATTACAAATATACTATGACATTAATTTATAATGATAATGTTATAGTGCAAATGATCAAAAATGTCGGCACCTGGAAAATGTGTAACAGGTTGGGGTCAGATAATCGTCTGGAAAACTAGGCAGGAACAGTATGAACAGTTGGAACTAGAAACTAAAATTACGTATTTACGTCAATAGTCAACTGTTGTCATTAGTTCATTATAATTTAAATTATAATAATCAATAGTGTTTTTGATTTGTTTGTTTTTTTTTTTTTGCAAAAAAAAAGCGAAGCAAAATTTGTTATAGGCATGTATTTTATATTGTAAGCTTTATTTCGTTAATTACAAATGAGAAACCATCAAATTAGGACTTGGTCAAACAAAATAATAGAATATTTAAATCTACCTGCCAAATACTTTTGTAGCTTATAAGTCACAAGTTGAAACTATAGGTTGGTATTTTGAATTTTAATAAATAACAATTCAGTATTTATTAGCAACGAAGATCTATTATATCTATTGAAAAGCTTTAACTTATTATTAGTAATGTTAACAATGATAGTCAACTTCTTATTGACATTGAATATTTCAAGAAAGATGCGAAATCCGAATCTCTATCGATAGAGAAGTTAGCATCCTATCTATTTTACCATATTTCATACAGTTAACGAAGAATGATCAATTAGCATAATTTATCGAGGAACGTTAAAAAGAAATAAACTATTATAATGTCGTAATTTAAGTTTATTTGTATTTTTCTATGCATTAGATATGTGCATTAAATATTACTTTATATAGTGCTACAAATTGAAAATCAAAAATCGCAAACTAATCGAAAAGTTGACAACTACGATTGAAAAATTTTTGGCAACTCATATTAAAATCAAATAAAAATCGAACAAAAATCGAATAAAAATCGAATAATCGAAAAGTTGACAACTAATCAATTGCAAAATTTTTGATGATTTGTAGCACTAATCTTAAGGATAAAGAAGAATATAATGTTTAGAAACATTATAATCAAGAATGGATTCAAATGACTATGTGAACACTTTGTAATCTATTTGAAAATATAGATACCCTTAGTAAGAACTCAATATGAAGATTGGTTCATAGTTGCACTTTTTGAAACATGTATCGATTTCTGCATCAGGAACATGCAATTGAGAACTGATATTAAGAGGTTTTATCTATCACAAAATTTGAATCTGTGTCTGGTTGGCAGATTCAAATTTTGCTTATCCATCTCCACTAATATAAACAATTAATTACTATCATTTCACTTATTTATTACTTCTTTAAGACTAATGCACCATCATTAAGTAGTGCTAACAAAAAGAATTGGCGTTGAAAAGCAAACACAAGAAAGCTTATTAGTTGCAAAGTTAATGGGATAATATATATATAACTAATAGACTTGTTAAAATCGGTGCTATTGAAGGTGCAAGAGCTTTTGCAGGAGTTTTAGATAACAACTATTTCCTCAAATCATTCAAGATGCCCAAAACACTTCAGGATATGTATGCTGATTTAATCAAGGCTGTGAATTATAACAATCAAAAAGCAAATAAACTTCAAGTATTTGGCATTTTATATCTTGAGTTATATATTCAGTTTGTAAAATTATAGCATGCTGGTGGATCAATATGTAATTTTCATAAAGATTTCTAATCTTTCTATATAGATAGCAAGTCCTCAAAAAATAAATTAAGTTCTTTCATTAAATTTTTAAAATAATATACCAATATAAGGTATGAAAAATCTCATAGTTATCATTATTTTTTCTTCTGTGTTTTAATTATTTTTACAGATTATTATTAAGAACAATCTACAAATTCTGAATATTCTAAACTGATACTGAATTTGGCAACTTGTTAGAAGAATTGCTTAAAGATAACAATAAGCAATGCTTTACTCCTTTACCCATGCCAATTTGGTTTTTTGCTGATTGTGAAAGCACTTTAAAGAAAAAAAAAAGGAAAAAAGTAGTACAAAAACAAAGTTTAAAAAAAAATAAAGCTAAATTATCTGTAATTTAACTTTTGACAAACTTGTAATCAATATTAATAAAGTATAAAATTTTAGACATATGAATTTGTTTGAATAATGTAATATATAAATTAACCATGACCAAATTTGTGTAATAGTTTAATATATATATATATATCTGCTTTATTGTTACAATAAAATATATAGATATACAGTGTTAAATATATGATAAAATAGCTTACATAGTAATATACTATTGCAAAGCTATACATTGTCTTTTACTTTCAAGTTCATTACTTGCTTTAATTCAGTCTTTTAACAATCTGATAATTATTCCAATTCACCTTTTCGAATTAATTCAATAACTTCTTTCAATGCTATTTTTGATAAATTCATTTTTATTTATATAATGAAGTCTATTAGTACTAAGTATAATAAAATACCATTCTTTGGCTAAAAAAAATTAACATATACTTCTAAATCAGATGTATTAGAAAAAACACTTTAAATAATGCATATAAATACAATAAATAAGTAAGTATTTTTTGCCCTGGGTGTAGTATTGGCAATAGAATTATTGAATTATGGCATTCTACCATATAGTAGAATTAATTATGATACAGAGCTTAATGCTATAAATATTATATGCTATAATGCCATAATGTCATAATGCTGTAATGTTATAATATCATAATACTATAGCAGATATTGTAATAACGTGATACTATAGCATTATAATAATTATAATAATATAGCTATATAATTCAATTATGCCAAACCAGAAATAGATGAATATTAGGTACTAAAAACCAGAAACTTAATTAGTAATTTTTATATACATCATTATAATTATTATAACCTTAAGGGTAGAGTGTATATAAATCATTTATCATATGATATGGGTTGTTAATCCTTTTGTGTAACAGTTTAAATAGTAGACACAACTCTGATTTGGTAATTACCTGTTTTAGTAATAATTTTACTATTTGGTTTTTTGTATAACTCCAGCAAATTTAACTATATAAGGAAGTATATTTTTTTTAAATAATACAACCTATGAAAATTTTACTACTATAAATAGAAGGTTTAATCTGTATATTACTCAATTTTAGTAAAAATTGATAGTAATTTTGAAACTTTTATTAGTGGTGTATTGTAATTTTATGCATAAAATCTCATTGTACCACAAAAGTCATATGATAAATGATCGATGTACACTTTACCCTTAAGCACTGGACTTGAGTTTAAAAAGTTACTAAAATTATTAACATTAATAATTTATAATTACTATGGTTACAATAAGTAGTTATATTTAATTAACTATATTCTTTTACTAAAATTTCCTAAAACTCCTATTACTTATTTTATTGACATTTTGCCAAGATAATTTTGTAAATAATTTGAGTATTTACTATAGTGAGTATAACTATATAACCAATATATATATATTAAATATAAGATATTTAAATTTGTTATATTTACATTATACCTTAATTTCACATTAATCTAGTTCGAATAGATATATTGAATATTATTTTAAGTAACTTCAAGAGAAAATGAAACTTCAATCATATAAATTCTGAATGATTGAAGTCACATTTCTCTTGGTGTCACCATTTATTACTGTATTAATTAGTATGCTTTAAGAAAGTACAGAGTAATTTAAAGAATGTTCATAGTCAGTTATTTAAAATAAAGGTGTTTGTGAATCTTTGCTAAAAACTTTCAAAATTAATATAATTTAAGGAGATAAAAATCAAATTTGGAATTATTAATGTCAAATTAAACAGTGCATTTGGTGATTCATGTTTATATAGTCTAAAATGTAATTAACAATAAATGTAATTATCATTTGAAACCACTTATGTATTATACTTTTCGTATTAATTTAATCAAGTGAATTTGATATTATTTTGTTCTGCTCACTTCATTGACGCTTCTTTCTTTTGTAGACACCATGACTGAAATATAACATAATATTCTTTACTATTACCAATTTAATCATGAATATAATAGCTATGTTGTAGATCTGCAGCTTGGATATTTACATTAATCGTTAATTGCTTTACAATAATAAAAATATAGAGCAAATTGGGATACTTTGGAATAATTTGGAAATTTAGAACATCCAAAAACAAATCTTTTTATTTTAGGATAATCCAAAAACAAACTTTATTCCTAACTATAAGAAATGACCTTGACCGAATAGTAAAAAAAAAAAAAAAAAAAATTAAGATATTTCACTACAAACTTTGATGATTATTGATTATCTATTCACAAAACCAGTAAATTTACTGTGCGTTATCTTAAATCTTTTAAACAATAAACACTAGAGGAATGTTATTCTATATTATTTATGTTATTGCAGCATTACAGTTTTTAACACATTACTGCAATAGCATTATAATATTTAAATACAACAGCATTATGGTATTTCAATATAGCAAATCAAAAATGTGTATCAGGTTGTGTTCTGGATGATCATGTGATTGCCCAGAAATGATATCATCAATTAATTATACAGATTACTGTTAGTGTTGTACATGGACAGTCCATGGACACAATATCCAATGTTCATGTCCATGGACATGGACATATTTCTATATGTTCATGAATATGAACATCCATATTTTTATATGTCCATGTCCATAGACGTCTATGTCCATGTCCATTGACAACACTGATTACTGTTATCTAGCGCTAGGGTTGTTAATGAAGTACTCCAGACTATAATAAAATATATAACCCACCTCTAGAGTGCTCCAGAGTGGGTTATATGTTTTATTATTGACTGGAGTACTCCATTAACAACCCTACCATTATCATATTTCGCTTTATACTTCACTTCATATTTCACCACTTCATATTTCATTTCATACTTCACTTCATATTTCACTTCAGACTTTGCTTTATATTTCACTTCATACTTTGCTTTATATTTTGCTTCATGCTTTGCTTTATATTTTGCTTTATATTTTGCCTCATTTTTCTTTATATTTCACTTTACTTTGCTTTATATTCGCTTCATACTCTCCTTTATATTTCGCTTCATACTTTGTTTTATATTTGCTCTCTTTATATAAAAAAATAATAAAAAGACAATAATAATAATAATGCATTAGTTTAACTTATCAGATTTATCTACTCCACTTCAAAAATACTTCTATCTAATAATTCTTTTAAAATAAAAAATTATATTTAACTTGAACCATTGGTTAAATCCAAAAAATAAATATTGGACAGCTTAATGTAAATTTATACGTGAATCTTAACAGCAAGAAGATGCCTTAACTGGCTAAGCGAATTTAAGGAAATATCAAAAATCATTATGTGGCTAAGAAAGAACATAAAAAAACTAGATTTTTGTCATCGGACAAACTGGCTGCTTATCTCTATCAACAAAATTTTCTGTAAAAAACGAATAAATATGAAGTGGAGTAAAAATTTGAGTACTACCAGCATCAACCCAATGAAAAAAGTGTAAAATTTCTCAAGAAAATGTCGACCCAACTATAATGAAAGTATGTAAAAAAGCCAAAAAAAAAACAAAAAAGTATAATTTATCAAAGAACATTAACACATGCAAACAAAATTGACAATAATATAATGATATAATGTATACATATTATTATGTGTTGTAATATTTGCGCGAAGTATATAATTAATAATGAAAAGAAATATACAAATTAACCGTGTGCCTTCAAAAAATTGTCCGGACATTCATTCCGGACCATCACGTAATCACCTAGTTGCAACCTGGTCGATTTGCATTGTGCAATGCTTTGATGTCAATTGTAATAAAAAATTAGAACAATGAAATTAGGAGCATTGATAAATTAAAAAAAGTGATATTGTTCTGTATTTAGTATTTTATAGTTATTTAAGAAAATTAAACAATTTAAATAAGTAGGGTTAATAACATAATTATAGCATACGTTAGTGTTACAAATCAGAGCAAAAAATGTAATCGATTAGTTAGTTGAAACCTTTTTAAAAATTGATTACAAATCGATTAACTAAACGATTATTGATTTTTGATTCATATCACTAGTAGAGATTAGGCCCGTATAAAATTTCTTTTCTGAATAACCCGACCTGTATTACAAACTCAAAACCGGGTAATAACCCAGTTTATCTCAAATGATCCGCATAACCCATATAACCTGTTTAACCTGGTTAACCCGGTAAAAATTTTGCATTTTCACTTTATATTATTTAAATAAATTATATAAAGTAATGGAAGGTATAATAGCACAGTTGGCATTAAAAAATGACATTTTTTATATACCTTCAAATTTTGATACGATTTAGTTAGCTTTTTATTAATCAACTTTTACGTTGTTTATCTTGGGCAGAAAATTTTGTTTTTGTATTAATATGTATAACACAAAATTTGATTAATAAAAAGTTTACCAAATCACACCAAAGTTTGAAGATATCTAAAAAACGACAATTCTAATAACTTTACTTAGAGAGTGAAATCCCAATTCACTTAATAAAAAATCATGCTTTATATTGTGCTAAAGAAAATTTATGTTCATTTTGTACATATTATAGTCAAGTAATATCGATATGCTGTAATATATAATACAGTAATAGGGACAACGATCTGCCACATTACCCTCTAAAATAATATGGATTTATTATTAAAGTTTTTTTTTTTAAATTTAATTAAAATACATTGGTATGTATATACAAGTTTATAAATTTTGTAAATGATCAACTTTCTTTTGAAAAATTTTATTACCATTTGTTCTTAACTGTGCCATTATACCTCCCGTTACCTTATATCTAAAAATAACATATATGTAGTAAAATAAAAGTACATAATACAAATGTTCTTTTAAAAAAGTTAATTTTCTATGAAATACTAATTAAATTATTATTTCTTTTTAGAAATAATATTTGGGAAACTGTTACAGGATTGAGACGAGATTGCTTTGGTGTTACTTGATTTCCTGCATCTGAAAATAAGCGCTTACTTGGAACAGAAGTAGCTAGAATAAACAAGTATTTTTTTGCTAATTTTCTTAATTTTGGAAAACCCTTTTCTTGTTCTTTTCACCATACCAAAGGTTGAGTTTCTTGTGTAGCAATAGGTATTTTATCAATATCTAAATATTTATCTAATTCATTATCGTCTAGTAGATTATCGTCTTTATCATCAAATATAGATGCGAAGTACCGATTTGTTGAAGTTACACTGGAAGAAGTAGACTGTATAGGCATTACATCAACAATAATTTCTTCACAGCATACTCTAATTGTCTCATTTTTTAAATAATTAGAAAAGGTATGCAATTTTTTAAGCCTAGAATCTAGTAGAGTTGCTAAGAGACCGGTGTCTTTTGGGTTACCCCAATATTTACAAAGCAAATTGTAAATTGCCTGCTTAACTTGAGCAATTACTGATTGAACGTCACAATTCTGAACCTCTTCACTTTCGCTATCACTACTATCGCTACCTATATTTGTTTGTAGAAGGTAAATACTAAAATGTTAATATTTTACATTAATATGTGGTAGCAATTTCAAGATAAAAATTTATATAATATTAATTACTATATTCATTAAAATCATCTTCAGTTAAAGTTAAATTCAGGTCTTTTTCAAATTCAGATTTTAGAACTTCGATTATAGGATATACAACCGACAATGTAGGATATTTTTCAGTACTGAATGCTTTAGTCACTATTTCAAATAGTTCAAAAATTTTAACCAATTCTTCAACCAATTTCCATTCATTTTTGTCAGATAAGTATCGCCCAAGATTTTGCCTATCTTTTTTGTCATCTGAATTTCGTGAGATTTTTAAATTGGCTTCTAGCCATATTATTGCATCTTTTAGTTTTAATAATCTTTCCCAAGATCGATATTTTGAATTCTATCGCGTTGGACAATCTTTAATTGGGTGAAGTGGTTTGGAAGTAGTACTTATTTTTGGTTGTTCTGAATCTGTATCTTCATCGTTAACTTCGCCAGCATCCTCTTCCTCAAAATAAAATTCAGTATTTACTAAACTAGATAAAGGTAATTTATCTCTTTCCATTACTATCATTTGCGCTTTTTCTAATCTTTCCTGTTGTTTTGGAGAATCAAAAAAATTAACTAATTTTCTTATTTTTTTTGTTTGTAAGCAAATTTTTTTTAAGGCATAATTAACTGTTAACTGCAACGTGTGTACAGCACATGGCAGCCAGGTAACATTATTCCATAATCGAATAGCTTTTACCATATTAGTGCCATTATCAGTAACAGTGCATGTAATTTTATTTTCTAAATTAAATTCTGAACATTTTTTTTTAAGAAACTCATAAATAGATTCGGCAGTATGCGGGTATGGTATTTTTTCACAACACAATGATATACTGCACAATAACCAGTCAGGAGTTACCCAGTGACAAGTAACTCCCATATATTCTTGTTTATTTCTTGAAGTCTATAAGTCAGCTGTTATTGTAGCTGCCTCGCAAGATGATGTAATCTTTTGTTTGAGAATTTCAATATTTTTTAATAACATAATGAAATTTCATTTCTTACTACTCTACTAGAAGGTGGACGAAATTTTGGATCAACTTTTGCCATCATATGGCAGAATCCTTTTTTCCTTGGTGCTGATAATGGTTCATTATCAAGAAGTATCTATTCAATAACTGCTCTATTTATTTCTTTTAGCTTATCGCCTTTATATGGAGTATTAAGCCGAAATATCTCTGGTAATGTAGTTTGTTGAGTTTGTTGACTTTTTTGTATTTCTGATTTTAATTTTTTGCTATCCATAATATTATGTGATGATCTTAAATAAGCAATCATATTCGAAGTTGAACCGTCATGAATATAATCAGCTCCATATTTTTGGTCTATACCTTGTTTTTTTACCATAACTATACAAACATCTTTATCTTTAATTACTTCAAAGTATTTCTATACAAAGCTTTTTCTACTTTTTTTTCTTTTTTTCTTAGTATTGGTTGGCACATTTGTACTAGAAGATGTATTATCTTCACTGTCGCTTTCATCAATGTATGTACTTTTTTGAAAGCTTGGGCTAGATCCTTGGGAATCCATTCTTAAACATGTATATGTAACAATAAAATTTATAAATAATTTGTGTGAAATAAATGATTTGTTAAATATCAACTCGGAAGTCAATTTTATAAAATTTATTAAATATGTAATAATTACAATTACAATGATTTTAATTCAAATAAAATCTTTATAAAATTAAATTCTTAAAGTCAAAAAACGCAGCTTAAATACATTTTTTACAACTATTAAAATGCGACTATTCTCTCATAATTTCTCATACCAATTTCTCTAATCTAAATCTCAGACTACTTATCTAATTTATTTCCTCCTATATACAATTAAGTCATGCAATTATCTAAATATTATGTGACTCTTCCCTTATAACTTCTCATGCCAATTTCTCAAATTTAAGTCTTACAATTCTTCAGACCATTTTTCTAATTTATGCCCTTCTAAATACAATTTAATTATACAATTATAAAAATTAAAAGAAACTTAATTATATTATAAATAATGCTGACTTTTATTTATATCCTTTGATTTAGTAACTAGAATCAAAAAAAAATTATATTATTTGATTCGTCTTAGTAAGACGAATCAAACAATACCAAAATTACTCGATTCTGATCAATATATCGCCCCTCTCTTTTATATTTTTATCTTACTTATCTTTTATTATTTATCAGGCCATTTTTTTACAATCTCTCAGGGCACTTACTTTTAATTCATGCTCTTCCAAATTATGCTTCTTATATTAATCTCATCGATTTAGAGTGCATGATCATTATGATTAATCCTACATCTTCATTGATCATACAATTTTCTGACCTGCATCTCTTTAAATACAATTATGTTTCTCAATTGACCCTATTGACTTTTAAAGTATAATTCAATAATGATAATTAATATACATATCCTATTTATAGCCCTTCATACAATTTTCTATTTTGTTTTCTTCCAAAAACAGTTTAATTCATGTGATTATGTTTCTCACATCAATCTAAAAGAATAATTCAAATAAGACATGGCTTAGGTCTCTTGGCATTAGTAAAATTAGTCTTTAGCAAATAATAACTAAAAAAAATCGCCGAATCTGCTATTTACGTATGTACGTATATATTTGCAAAATTATAGGTGGGTACTTGTGTCATTTTAATTTTACCGGTCTTATACTGTATGTATTTGGGAATTCTAAATACAAAAAATTTAAATAATATGAGATTAATAACATATATATGCTTATATAAAGCCTTGTATAAAAAATCAGAGCCGGCTAATGCAATATTAAAGATTAGATTCATGATTCACAACATAAATTCAGAAAGTACTCGATAGGGATGTTAAATTGATCTGATCTGGATCATGAGATCAAGGAATAATGGTCCGATCTAACCAGAATTAATAATGCAATTGCAGATAAACCAGATCAAGATCAGATTATTGGATCATTTTAACATCCCTAGTGAATTATTATTAAAAATTGATAAACCGGTTTTCTAATTTTTATTTTTTTCTTATCCGGGTTAACCGGTTAACAAAATTACTAACCAGTTAAGAGTGCTTATACGGGTTACCCGGTAATCCTTATACGGGCCTAATCTCTAATCACTAGCATACACCACAATGCTATCATCTAGTAATTACAGTGTCAATTATATAATAATGTATTCTGATTTTGAATTTTGGCAACTACGTTGCATAGCTACCTTATGTAATAGATCAGTTTGAAAACGAAGTCTGTTCGCAATGTTCAAAGTACATAAATACTTTAAGCACAAATATAGTGATTGGAATATAGTCGGGTTCTTAAATAACTGTGATTTGGAACCCTTTCAGAGAAAAATAGATGCTTACATTAAAAGCCTTGAAAAGATTAATATGGAAAAAGGAGGAAGACAAAGAAAAGCACGTCTGCTTTTTGGCAGATATCGAAAAGCACGTAATATTTTCATTTATAGGTATAGGTTAAAATAGTGGCGTGATGATCGTAGACCTTCTCGGCCTTTCATCATTCAAGACTTTTCGCCGAGCCACAAAACCAGTATTAGAGCACAAGTGACTTTCTCGGTTACTTGCCGTTCAAGGCTTCTTGCCGATCTAACACTGGACTCATTGGAGTTAGGTGACCGTTTCGGTTACCTGGTGCTCAATTGGATAAAAATTGAAGTATAGGCAAGAGTTTTACTAATTTCCAAATTTTCTATGCTAGAGTCCTAGGCCAGACTTTAAAATAGCAAAAACTTGGAAAAAGGAACATGCATGAAAACAAATACATCTACATCAACCAATAAGCGGTACTGTAAAGGGGTCTATTAATGGAATAATTAATAGTGGAAATGTAGGAACAATTAATGAGCAACAAGATTCACCGCTCAGAAGATCACCGAGAATAAAAAAAGTGAGTTGCAACAAAAAGCCAAATAGAGCGAATAACGCCAGCGAGCGAACCCATGAAGAAATATCAGATGAAAATTCTGAGGAATGTAAAACACTATTAGTCAATATTTTCTGTTCTAATTATCTCTAATTTTCAATATCTAGGTTTACAATGAAGATGATCGATGAAGACAATGACGATGAGATCGATGAAGACAACGATGATGAGATCGATTAAGACGATGAAGATAACTACAAAGATGATGAGATCGATGAAAAATAATCACGAAGATGTTGAAGATGACTATAGTGACTAAAAGATTAGGAAGAGAAAAAAATTTGAAAAAAAATTAGTTGAAGGTTTAAAGTTAAGGTTTAAAGCAATTAGTACGAATAACAAATAGAAGCTTCCTTCAGACAGATTCGTAGAAGATGTTCTGTATGATTGGGCATTGACTAAGCGTTCTGAAACATAAATATACTCATTGATCATATTGTTACCAAACACCTATAATAAATTAATGGCTATTTTGTTTAAAGGCTTGCACATTCTTTTATACTGGACACTGACAGTCAAGAAATTATGAACCTGTTCAGTTTAGAGGAAAAAGAAACAATTATGAATACCAATAAAAAATCATTTTCAGATGTTCAATCATAAGGTATTTGTTTAATTAAGATTGACCAAATTGAACATATTTATATATAACTCTTTATTTTCAAAGAAAAATGTTGAGGATATTCGAAAAGTTGTTATGACACCGTATTTGAAAGACGGGGAGTCATATAACCCAAAATTATACTATGACCTAGAGTGGATATATTTAGTATTCAATAAATGGGAGTGAGTCAGTAGAAACGCACCATGTTGTTTTTAATGAAATTTTTTTGAATCTTCAAACAAAAATAAATTAGCAAAAA